TTTAAAGTGTAAAATGATTCTTCTTTTATGAACACTGAGGCCTCAGGTGCGATGACCACTATCTCATGCCCCTTCTGCTGGAGCTGCTGAGTAACTCCCAGCATGCTGAGCCAGTGGCTGCCATCTATAGGGAACAATAACAGCTTCCCAGCATGGGACACAGAGGGACCAAACATACACAACAGAAGGCCAGAAAGAAGCAGAGCCCAGCACACCACAGTCATGGTACCTCTCCCTCTGGTGCTGTCGGTGAAGTCTACTCAGGCCTGCTCATGATTCATGAAAAAAACAAAACAAAAAAAAAAAAAAAAACGCAACCAGTTAATGTTTGACTGTGTCCCATGACAAAAGCTGTCGATCAACTCATAAAGGCCACAGAACAATTTCCTTTTCAAGATGAAGAGGGTGGAGCTTTACTGGGTTCCTTAATGAGTAACAGCTGTTGAAGTGTCTGCAAATGCCTTCCTCAAATCACGTCATTGAGTGAATATACGGAGCAAACCATCTCTGGTCATTTTGGATTCATTAAATTAGTATTTTCATATGTCAGGGAGGGTTATTACCATGAAGTGCCAAAGTGTGATGCCTTCCCAAGAATAAAACTGAAAGTTACTCAGAAAATCATTGAGAAAGAGAGGAAGTAAAAAGTTCTGACACTCCATTTTTGTCCATGAAACCCATAGAATGTCTTCCCATCATCCACCCGGGGCTCCCCTTAACCACGCCCATCACTTTTTAAAGTGTGTGTGAGAGTGTGTGTGTATGCACTTGTGCATGTGTGCCTGTGACTGTGTCTCTCTCTGTGTGTCTGTGTGTTGTATGTAGTCCAAATAACACCTTGGGTATTGTCTCCCAGAGGCCATACATTTTGTTTTGAGGTAGGCTCTTTTACTGGAATAGACCCTGCCAGTTATGGTAAACTAGCTAAGGGGTCACTGAGCCAAGGAAGTTTCATTTCTCTAGCTCCCCAGCATTGGGAACACAAGCATGCCCAACCATGTCCAGAATTTTCATGTGGCTTCTAGGGCTTGAATTCAGGTACTTATGTTTGCAGAATACTTTACTAACTGGGCCAGTTCCTTGGCCTCTGTCAATGTTACTTTGTACTTAATCTAGTACAGTACTGGGTCCCAAGACTGCAGCTAAGACCAGTACAGATAAGTGCCCTGCCTTTCCAGGACTCAGGCACTATCAAGAGAGACAGAACCACAGCCCAGGCTAATAAATGGGGCCCATTGAGAGTGCAAATGAATGGAACCAGGCCAGACAGAAAATGACAAGGCGGAAAAATCACATGAGTCCATGGGCAGAAGTCGGGTCTCCTAGAGAAGAACTACACCCCTCAGAGAAGCAGTGAGGAAATATATTCCAAATTAAAATAGATAAGGCAGTTAGACAAGTACAATTGTATTCATCACACTGGCCTAATGTCATGGGGGAATTCTGGTGACCAAAGTCAGGTGTGTACTGTGAGTCAAGTGTTGTCAAGATAAATATTCTGCAACACCTTTTCCCATAAAGATGTCCCATAAAAGCAGAAGGCATTTCCTTCATTTTACAAACATACTGAGGCCAACGGAAGCAAAGACATTTGCCAGAGTCCTTGGCAGAGCTAAGACACAGGCCCTAGTTAGAAGTTGAATGGAAAACTGTGACCCTCGGGTCATGACCCCACCATGATGAATGGGGAAAAGGCAAAAGAAAGGACTTTGAGTTCAAGGATTTGTTCAAACAGCACTATCTAAGAGACTAAGGGAAGAGCTGTTGAACAGAAATGCCTCCCAAAGTGGGTAACCAGAGTATGGGCAGAATCTAATCTTGTTCCCTTTCTGTGGAGTCAATGATGTCCAATACAGTCCGAGGAAGAAAGCACAAATACCAATATTTACCATAGTACAGGTCCTGCCTACAGGGCCTGTGCTGGGAACAACAAAGAAAAACCATTTTAAAGCTTTGGTGTTAGGGAGTACAGCTGATAGGATCCTTCTCTTTGGGGCACTTAAAAGTCCCATTTTCCTGGGCCTTCACCCTTCCCCAGCAGAATCCCAGTTTTGCTTGTATTTTAGCAAAGACACACACACACAACACACACACACACACACCCCACAACCAGTGAACACATGCACTCTGAACTTCTTCCTCATGCACAACCACTCAATCACTCTTAAGTCTCAGTAAGCAGAAAATATATAGCAATGCCTTTGTTTTTGCTGTGCATTTAACCAAAATTCCAAAGCTCACAATAAAAGTTAAACTTTAGGATCAGTAACCCTTGGAAGCCCCATTTCATGAGAACTCACTTGTAGCTTATACAGAGCAAAGAAGCCATAAACATAGCAATGCTTTTATGACTCTGTTCCTGTTTTTACTCAGAACTTTGAGCCTTTTCATTTAAATGGTGCCAGAGATAGAACCCACAGCCACACACAAAGCAGAGAGTGTACTGCTTCTGGCAGCCACTGTAGACCTGAATGGTTAGGGCCCCAACTCTACCCTTGGCCAGGGAATACCATTCACTGATCTAAATGCAAGGCAATTTACATTTCTTATGACCAACGAGGAGTATCACTTCAAAGCAATCCAATGATAGGTCTGCCCTGGAACATGAGCAGACCAAACTTATTTCAAATGCAAGGCCAATTCCTTCCCGCACCAACATGCATGGAACAAGTGAATTCTACTGTACTGGGTGCTATGCTAGGTGCCAGAACCAAAACTCAGATGACCAATGGCCAGTGCCTGTAAGGAGGGATCCAGGGGTCACAGAAGAACCAAACAATTACAGGGTTCTGCAAGATGTGCTGTGCTGGCTGAGAAAACAGAACAGAGCAGCAATGCGGCCCTGCTTTGGAGGTCCTTGAAGAATGTGGTATCTTTGGAAAGTCCTATTTTTAAAATTGAATTTCTTTTAAAGCTGGAGCTAGAAGTTACTATTGCTACCTGTAGGACACCTAGCTCCTTTGAGGGGATAATAATAGAGATTCACAGTAAACAAAGCACATATGTTTTCCACTTCCCTGTGGATGAGCCAAGGACCCTCTAGAGGAAAAGGGCAGTTTTCCTCAAATCACTACAGCATTTTTCTCTGTCCTGCCTTTCATAATCTAGAAGTTCACATAGCTGTCTGTGTGCTAGACAAAGTATAAATGGATACATTCCTCATAGACAAGCTTTCAGCTTTAAATCATTATCTCAACCCAGGTGCCAGTCCATAGCTATGCATTCAGTAACTGTCTTTGTACAGACTTCATCTGCCTTTACTATAGGCCAAATACTTAAGCCAAGTGCTCAGTCTCTCAGATCCAGCTGCCATGGTCCTATTTCCTCTAGGCTGTCCTTCCAACTCACTATGTCAGTTTGTACCCACTTTAGCCTGCCTTGGCCAACAGCTCCATCGGACCCACAAGAAAACTCAAATCCTTTAGCCTTGCCCTTCCTGAGACCTTGCATCACCCTTTGAAGATTATTTCTCCTCTCTAGCTCTTCTGGTTAGTTAATCCACCTGCACTTTCCTCCTAATCGGGTTTCCATTATTGTTTCATATTTACCAAGTGCCAGGCCTAGAGAGGTTCAAGTTTATGGTTTTACCATAAACTCCAATGACTTCTGGTGCACCAGCACTCCTGGTTAGACATAGTGCCCTTCATGATACAATCTTTAAAAGTTCACTGGTTAACCATTTCCCTTAGAACCAAGTAACCTTTATAGGTTAATTTTTATATGTGTGTTGCCTCATAACTGACCAAGTCAGGTAATAACAGTGTTCGAAAATAAATAAATAAATAAAACACAAGTAAGGGGAGATAGCACAAGTGTCAAGCAAGGACAGAAGGAAGCCCACAGTCATGATACAACAGTTAGTGAAAGCAATAACTTTCACTTGTAGTACTACAAAAACAGCCCACAAATTCCAATTATTCTGTTCAGGACAACAATGGCTCTCCAAGTATTAGCTAGGGAACCCTGAGGACCTTAAAAAAGGAATTTTACAGAATCAAAACTATTTCCATCCATGGCAATACTGACTTTTAAAATATCTCATTTTCTCATAAGCATATGGTAGTGTTAACTAAAGGTTACTACATGTGTGAAATCACAGTAGATTGAATTTAGAAGCGAGAGAATCCAGTTCCATTGAGCCCGATGCTGGAGTGATTTAAAGAATGCAAACATACCCTAGCATTCTGAGCTTTTGAATAAGTTATTTCCTCAAAGGAACATGATTTATGTTAGTGTGCAGCTAATAGAAACGTCCTTTTCATTGCTTTACTTTCTTGTTATCTGACTCGAACTCAAAGCCATATAAATGAAAACAAAGGGTCCTGAAGCCAAAATGTTTGAGAACCTCAGCCCTTCACAAACCACTGTCCTTCAGAGTCAGACGAAAGCCACTCCTGTCAACTTTCCTATCCTCTTACCTGGCTGAAGGAAAGTTGACTTAGAGCAGGGTACAAGAATACCCATTTTTAAAAGCCAACTTTCTGAAGCACACTTGTAAATTCACAATGCAGGATGCGGAGACAGCAAGGCATCACTAAGTTCAAGGATAGTTTGATCTATCTACACAGCTGATAAGAGAGAGCAACAGCGGAAGAAGAGGAGAGAGAAGGGGAGAACAGAGAGAGGTAGAGAGGAGGAGAAAATAAGGAGGGAGGCGGTCTAGCATTCTTGTTCAGGATGCTACTGGGAATGTTAATGATACTATTACAACAGGGGGGAAGGAGGGAAGGAGGGAGGAGAAGACAGAGGAGAGAAAGGGGTTAGAGGAGAAATTGGAGGGAGAGGAAGAAGAGAAATCACAGCCTCTCCCCTAAGTTGTCCTTTGTCCTTCACACCAGACCAACAAACAAACCAGCGGGCAAAGGCCTCTGGACTTGGGCCCCATCACTAGCCCTAGCATCACTGAGCGTCACTGGGAGCAGAACCAACCCTTGGAGACCTCCATTCTGATAGGCCGAGGCGCCGCCAGCCTCCGCCAATGAGAGGCGTGCACGTCACAAGGGCGTGCGGCGCCGGCTGGTAGGCGGGCGTTCAGCAGCCGCCAGCCGCGCTGCAGCGCCGAGGCCGCGGGCCGGCCAGCCGCCATGGTGGACTACTACGAGGTGCTGGGCGTGCCGCGGCAGGCCTCGGCTGAGGCCATCCGCAAGGCGTACCGCAAGCTGGCGCTCAAGTGGCACCCGGACAAGAACCCCGAGCACAAAGAGGAGGCAGAGAGGCGGTTCAAGCAGGTGGCGCAGGCCTACGAGGTCCTATCTGACGCCCGTAAGCGCGAGGTGTACGACCGCTGCGGCGAGGTGGGCGAGGTGGGCGGCGGCGGCGCGGCCGGCAGCCCGTTCCACGACGCCTTCCAGTATGTCTTCTCCTTCCGAGACCCCGCCGAGGTCTTCAGGGAGTTCTTCGGGGGCCGCGACCCCTTCTCATTCGACTTCTTCGGAGACCCGTTTGAGAACTTCTTTGGGGAGCGGAGGAGCTCCCGGGGAAGCAGAAGCCGAGTACCCTTCTCTGCCTCCTTCACCGACTTCCCAGCTTTTGGGGGCGGTTTTGCTTCGTTAGATACCGGATTCACATCCTTCGGTTCCCCGGGAAACTCAGGCCTTTCTTCTTTCTCTATGTCCTGTGGCGGTGGGGCGGCAGGCAACTTCAAGTCGGTGTCAACCTCTACCGAAATAGTCAATGGCAAAAAAATCACCACCAAGAGAATCGTTGAGAATGGACAAGAAAGGGTGGAAGTGGAAGAAGATGGAGAGTTAAAGTCCCTGATAATTAATGGCAAAGAGCAGTTGCTTCGCATCGATACTCAGTAAAGACATGTGTTTTAAGGACGATCAGGACTTTTTTTGTTTTGTTTTGTTTTTTGTTGTTGTTGTTGTTTTGTTTTTTTGGGTTTTTTGTTTGTTTGTTTTGTTTTCGTTTAAAAGCGTTTCCAAGGGAACTCTACTTTCAGAACAACTGTATTCAAGACATTATATACAGCTGATGCCGGTGCCTCTTGTTGTTGGGACTTCAGGGATAGGATCTCTCTTGGTCTTTATGCCTGTTGTAAATATGTGTATGCCTTTGGCACTCATTAAACTTAATCCTGAGGCAGACCACCATTATGTCCTAGTGGTAGGAAACACTGTTCACGGCACCTAAAACCGAACGATGTTCATTTTGTTGATAATTCGATGTAGAGAGTGTTCTGTGAAGTGCAGCCATACAGCCCCACTTCCCCACACTCAACACTGCGGTGAAAGATATGCATATGTTGATTATTTAGTTTAAACTGAAAAGGCAGCTTTCAGTTTACCTAAAATAACGGTGATATCGGAACAGTTGACCAGTGTTTAAATGAAAGGTTAAAACTAAACTTTTAAAAGTGGTTGCATTGAAGGAAGTATACTAAATAGGTTATGGTCACTGCTGCAGTGAATTACCATGAGCTTGGTAATGTATATCACATTTGCTCTTCCCACGTTTTATAAGCTAGAAATCTGAAATCCAAATCAATGGGCAAAAAGGCAGGTTGCCAGAACCATGCTTTCGGAAGGTTTTGGGCTGCGTGTATCAGTCAAGGTCTCAACGTGGGGCTTGTAGTGCTTAGCCCTAAATTTGTTCAAGCAGTAGAAGATGCTGGAATTGAAAAGACGTGCCTTTTAAAGGATAAGCTCCTCCATTGCCATATGTAATATATATGTAAATATGTATATAACAATAGAGTCCTTTCCATTAGCACAGTTGGATGCTTTTTCTTCAGACCTTGCAGAAGATGGTTGCCTTTAGAGAATATACCATAGAATATTCTACCTCACTCTAATGTCATCATGAAGACTTCATAAGACATGCAAGCAAAGGAGATTTAAATTGCCACACTTAGTAATTCTCTACCGGAGGTCATGGGACCTAAGCACAATAAATAAGATTATATAAATATGTTGGATACCCATACTACCCTGAAAGTGTAACCTCATGCAGTGACATATGTACAGTACATAGAAGAAACCCGAGATTCAGGTCTGTCCCCCCCTGTCACATCAGTGACTTAGAAGTCACATCAGTGAAACAGTGACTGCAGAACCAGGTGGGAGCTGCTTTCTATCAATGACAAGTTTCTAAATCAGACCAACTATCAGACTTGGAAAGAAATGTTGTCTTCATCCCAGGGAGCTAATGAAGACAGTTGCTGAAGGCTGGGAGATGGCCTAAGGGTTTCAGTGCTGACTAGACAAACATCCTCAGAAACCCAACATAACCATCTGGTGTATGTAGTATTCCTCAGAAGGCAGAAACACATAATCCCCAGAGCAAGAGCAAGCTGGCAGGCAAGATGAGCCGTATTGGCGAGCTCTGGCTTTTTTTTTTGGGGGGGGGGAGAGACCCTGGATAAGGTGGACAAGTAATCGAAGATGATTCCTGACATCTGCCTTGGACCTCCACATGCGTGCACACACACACATGCAAAATATGCAGACACACATGTACACCACACACATAAAAACAAGGGGGAATGTCATTGAGTAGAATGTTGGTGTGATTTGCATCTGAACTGGTAGGAGGTATCAGGGATTTGGGGATAATGAGCATACAGTTCTGTGATGGTTAATGTGGAAATCACAACCCTGGGTAGACCAGAATGAGTGGGTCTGAAACCACACAATAGAAGAAAGATCTTCAGCAGAGAGTTCATGGTAGGCAGAGACCAGCATAGTGAGGCTGGTTAGTTTCAGCTCTGGTTAGTTTAAATAGTTGAGAGCAAACACAAGAATCTGTTCATATATCCTGGACTAATGGAAATGGAAAGCTGCTGACTGGACTGGAACTCACTTTGTAAGCCAGGCTAGCCTTGAATTCACAGAAATTACTCTGCTCCCCAAATTTAGGAATTCACACCATGTGCCACCAGGCCCAACTATAAATTAATGAACTGGCAAGCTTGAAAACCTCTTCAAAAATTGCTCAGTCTCAAAACACTTCTGCAGACATGCCTGTGGAAGGTCAGCCTTTAGGAAAGGTTTGTCATGGTGGTCATAAGGCATTTCCTGTGCAAAGAGTAGCCTCCTGACTCCACCAATGGATCTGATCTGTAAGAGCACATTCCTGCACAAGTCTGACAACTTGGCTTTGATCCTGGGGACCTATGGTGGAAGAAGAGAACCAGCAACCAGAAGTTGAAGTTGTTCAACTTCCACATAAGCACGTTGGAGTACATGCACCCCCCAGTCATACACACATGCACATCTCACAACAGGGGATCCCCTCATGGAACCACTGGAAGAATTTTCTAGAATGCACCAGGCAAGGAAGAGCAACACTGTAAGAACCAGAAGACTAGGAGGCCCTGTTCCTTCTAAAACAGGATCAAGAACTCAAAAAGCCAGTCTTAGTGACTGCAGGTTTACACGCAATTTTGGGTTTAGCTTCAACACAGCTGAAAGCATTTGTAAGAAACTACTGTCTTCAAGTAACCACCTCCCCTTTGATTATATACTGCAGCTTCTAAACTAGAAGAAAGGCACCTTCTCCATTTTAGGAAGCCATTCATTTGTATCAGCTTCTGTTTCCAGAATTTCCAGTTCCACATTGTAATCGTTTGTTTCTCCTCTCCCCTACTCACTCTCATCTCTCTCATTCCTCCTTTCTCCTAACCCCTCTCCTCACTTCCTCACTTCCACCTCTCCTTTCCCCTCTTCACCTCTCAGGCTCTCACTGTATCCTAGTTCAGGGTCTCATTATATAGCCAAGGATGGACTTGGACTCATAATGCAACCTCAGCTTCCTAAGTGCTAGAATTACAGACCTGGCATCCTAAACCCAGATCACAGGTTTTCTCACTAAATACAGATTCTTAGATCTCCATTAAGCCATTTAATGTAGTTTCAGTTACTGTCAAACAAGTTGACTGGACTGGGAAGTAGCCAGTGGCCTCCGGACTAAATATACAAATTACTCTCTACCTCTACACTACGATAAAGTAAAAAGTTTTGTTATGTTAGATTTCTCTAGACAATTTTTCTTTTAGCTTTCTACATACAAAAGCTGAAGTAGACAATTTACTTATGGAAGATCTGCAATCATACAGTAGCTGCTCAGTTACACATAGACTATTGAGCATTTGATATATGGCTGGTCCAATTGATCCTATAAACTACTCATTAGCTTGATTCCACTTAAGTACTTTAGTGTCCTATGAACACACACCATTTCATCCCTGAGAACATCAACAACTGCCATTCACTGATTCCTCTAACCTTCAAAATGATGTGAAAGCAACATACCCTCTGATGGGTCAGGCTGCAGTTCAATGCCTCAACTCCTGTGCAGAATCAGGATAATCACCAGGAGAAAATCCATGCCTGGATATATGGGCAGTCCCAAAAGAATCCCACTGCCTTCACCTTAGCCTTTTGTCTTGATAGTGGCCTCTGAAAACCTGAAGTATAGCACTGTGGGCACCTTAGTAAGTGAATTTAACCAAAGCCTCTTAGGAAAAGGGAGGTAGAACTTTGGAGAGATTAATAAATAAGCACTTGAGAGTTAAAAAATGAAATTATTTTTCCTGAAAAATTCTTGAGATAAAGACAGAATACAGACCTGATGAAGTGGCTTCCTGTTAGCACAGTTTATGCCCCCAATGAAGACCATGTTAGGCATGATAGGCCTGGGGTAGTCAAACACAAAGTCCCCTCGGAATAGCCACACAGACGCATGGCTGAGAATCTCCACCAAGGACACCTCTCTCTGCAAAAGCTCGGAGGCAAGACTTTCATAGGGAGTGAATGAAATATGACAAATGTACTTCAAGGTCACAGGGTACAGCATGTTCTTGACCCTTTGCAGGAAACTCATGTGGTCCGAATGTGTTGTGAGGAGCTTTGGAACATAAGAAGAAGGGTTTGGACACTGTGTGGCCTCAGAGTCTATGTCACAGGGAATGGAGCGCAGAAAAAACACAGCAGGAATCTGTAGGTACTTGGCCAGCACTGCCCCACAGGGAAATATGGGGTCTGTTAAGATCACATCGAAGAAACTGGAATTCAGTTGCTGGATCAGGGTCTTATTGTACAGAAGAGCTGCACAAGAATTTGCATAGAGTTCTGAAAAGTTTCTTAAAGCTGCTATACTTTCAAAAAACAACTCCACAGAACTTTGTGTTTCAAAGTTCTTATTGGCATTTCCCCATAGTTTTTGTTGATATTCTTCCTGGGTGTACGGAAAGGGATAGGTTTTGAAGGTGAAGAAGTCCTCTTCTTTGATGTGCAGAGTCACTTCTGGAGCCAGGACAACAATCTGGTGGCCTCGGGCATGGAGCTCCTTGGTGAAATCCCTCATGCTCAGCCAGTGGCTGCCCTCCATTGGAAACACCAGCACCTTTGCACCTTCAGCCCACAGCAGGGCACACAGCAGAAGCAGCAACCCCAGGTGTCCTGCATCCATCTTCCCAGAGGTCCACAGCAGTGAACTGTCCACAGCCTGTACCTCCTTTGTAAGTTTATTCCTTTCCTTATCATCAGGCCACCTATCACTCTTCATAGCACTGAGTAGTACAGTGCTCTTAAGTTAATCGTTAACAAGATAAATCTCTCCCTGCCTTGCACTAATGTCAAATCCTTCTGCCTGCCTCCACCCACAGAAACATAAGCTTTGCTTTCCTTGCCTAATAACTCCCATGACATGCTTCTCTTTTCCTAGGACATACTAGTTCACCTCTTGTTTTCCAACTCCCCAAACAAGGCACCACCTACACTGTTAGTAAGTTGCCATTGAACTCAAGGAGGTGCCCTCATCTCCCAGAACCTTTCTGCTGGGTAAGACCTTATTAAGTAGCTCATTAAAGTCTGTCCTTCAATTCACAAGTAGCAATCAATGTATCACAGCATACAGGATACTGCAAAGCAAGTGTGAGCAGACTAAACTTGCTGTATCCCTTTGCCATGCTTCAGATTCTTCATACTTCCAGGAGTACAAGGATCAGGTAACATGATCTGAAGTAGCTGCCTGCCTGCAAAGATGGGCAGCTGGAAAGATCTCAAAGCTAAGAGGCTCTGACTCTGCTGTAAGACCTTTTGAGAATCTGGTAACCACTCCAGGGGATGAAGCTGATGCTTTGTAATGCACCT